AAAAAAAAAAAAAAAAAAAGGACGTTATTGGAGACCTTCATGAATTGGAATATGGGCTGTAGAAGAGATGATAGTATTATATTAATGTTGAATTTCCTGAATTTGACTACTGTCATTATGTAATCTCCTCGTTAAAACACACTGAAGCATTTAGGGGTCAAGGGTAACTTCTAATTGCTCCCAGAAAATTGAGTACAAACCCATATAAAGAGAGAATGATAAAGCAAATGTGAGATGTTCACCATTGGTGATTCTGGTAGGGAATTTGTTTATATTCTTGCAGCTTTTCTGTAGGTTAGAAATTATTTCAAAAAAAAAAAAAAACTTAAACGAATACAAATGTAATGTGGAAAGTAAAAAAATCAATAAATAAAGGTAGCAACAGACAGGCTGTGAAAACATGGAGGAGGGAGCAGCTAGCTTCCTGAGGGCATCAGGGAGGACTTCCCAGAGTGAGCATTTGAGGTGCTCCTGAAGACAAATAGGAGGACCTGTGGGGTCAAGAGTGACTGGGCAGGGGAGGTACCAGGTACCCTTCTGGAGGGCCCTGAGTGCTGCACCAGTGAACCCAAATCTCGTTCCTTCTCAAGGGTGAACATCTGGTCAAAGGCAAAGAGCAGCCCCACGTTGCTCTGCACCGGGCCTGGCTGGAGTCTCCTGTCACCCCCTCCACGGCCCCCACTCTGCTTGGCCTTCCAGCATGGGCCCGGAGAGGCCCTGTTCCTTCCTATTGTGCAGCCTGGTGCAAGCAGCTCCCTGGGGGGAGCAAATGGAACCGAGAGGTGGAAGTTTCCTGGGGCTCCTGCTGCCTGATAACCTTTGGGCCCAGCCTGATTTGGGGTAACTTGGGGGCCAGTCTTCCATCTTGTAGCTGCTCTGCTGGCAGGAGGACCGGCTGTGTAGTTAGAATGGACCGGGATTTGAATGCTGGCGCCATGCACAGTCCCAGTTAGGGCGTCTGGGCCTCTGTTTCCTCATCTGTAGGTGGGATCATCCTAACTCTCTCTGGAGGCCTAAGAGCCATGCTGAGTGCAAAGTGGCCGCAGTGTGTCTGGCCTGTGCCTGGTGCTCTGAAGATGCTGGTCCTGTGAATTTTGCCTTGTCATCTTTCTTTTATGCTTAAACTTTCAGAGTTTCCGGGTTCATTCAGATGAAGACAATCCTGAGAGAATCCAACATATTATTAAAAGAGCCATTGAAGATGCAGACTGGATCATGAACAAAGTAAGTGCTTGGCTCCCGGCTCCCCCTGCCCGCTGGGGGGTTGACAGCGGTAATCTCCATGGCCACCAGGGGTCGCCCCTGTCCCACAGTTGAGCCCTATCAGGCCTGCAGAGGCACCCTACAGCCCCAGCCAGCCGCTCCCCTCTTCCAGAAGCCCAGAGGCGGTGGCAGATGCCTTTCTGGTTGCATCTGTTTTCTGCAATGGGTGGGGAGTTCTCAGTCCCTAAAGGCCAACAGTGCTGAATAAGCTGAGACGGGGTAGCAGGAAGAAGGAAGAGAAAGGTCTTCTTGGAAGCAATAGTGCCAGGACTAGCAGCAGCCTTGCGATGCCTCAGACGGGAAAGCTGTGTTGGGGCGTAGTGAGTTCCCCGTCTCCAGGGGTAGTCATACTGAGGCAGGGTTATTGAGGAAACATTCAAGTATCTATTTTGGTAGAGGAAGGGAGGGAGTCAAGAAGACAGACTAACTTGCTGGCCCTTACCCACTGGTGTTAGAACAACCTAGAGAGCTAGGTGGAGCATGCCCCCCCCCACCCATCTTTCTAAATCAGAGTCTCCAAATGTGGGGGTCGGGGTTTGTTTTAAAAACTCAGTGATTGGACTAGATGGCCTCTGAGGATCTTCCTCTCGCTGAGATATTTTTTTCTTTGAACCAAGATTCAGCTTAAAGAACAGGATGGGCATGCCCCGCATTCCTTTCTGACATTCCCGTATCTGTCTTATGTGCGCCCTCTTAGCCCATCAGCTTCCTTTTCCATTAAGGAAGAAAGGGGGGCCCGGTGCCAGCTAGAGATTTGACTGGTGCCTGCCCCCCTACCTCGGAGGAGCCCCTGCAGGAGGCAGCTAAGGCTCAGAAGAACATGGTTCTCGGGATTTCCTGGGTCTTCCCTCCCCCATTGGCTTCCCTCACCCACTTCTTTTTTTTTTTTTTTTAAAGATTTTATTTATTTATTTGACAGAGAGACACAGCGAGAGAGGGAACACAAGCAGGGGGAGTGGGAGAGGG